CCCCAAAACCCCAAAACCCCAAAACCCCAGAGGAGAAAATTATTATTGAATTGAAGACAATTTTGAAAATCAATTTAGATAAATAATAATTATAATAAAATGCAAAACCTGATGGAATAGAGGAAATCTATGAATAAACCTCAAGAGACTCTCAAAGTAGAAGTCAATATTAAATCTTCACCTAAATCTGCAATACTATAAAACATCAAAGTAAAAAGACAAAACATAATTTAGAGAAGAGAGGATTCATTCAATAAAATAGAAGCTCTATAGCAGAGCAGTTTTTACCTCAGATCAAAAAATAATACAGTCCTAAATAATTACAGCAATAAGGGTATTAATGCCTTTCAAAATCAGAGAGCCAATTCATCTCTTAATCTTGATAGAGATAATAGCATTAAAAGAAACACTCTGGAAGGAAGAGAAAATATGACAAGTATATATTATAGCGATCTAAATGAGAATAACTCAGGCTAGCAATCTTTCTTACCGACTCTAAGTTGATTCAATTAGAATCAGATGAATGAATAATCTCAAATCTATCAAAATGAGCCAATCATTAAAAAAGAGATACCCAGAGATAACTCTACTGATACTCTTGAAAACTTTGATAAAATAATGCCACCTACATTGAGTTCAATTAAAAAGAAGCATTTATCTTTTGACAACACAAGATAACTGTCTGCAGAGAAGAAATTGAAAATGAAAAGTCAAATGCTAGCTACTCCCTCTCAAATGCTAAATGGAGGAAATGATGATGAAGATAGTATCAGCATTTTGCATTAATCCCTAACTGGCTTAAGCAAGGATCAGATCTCAATAGAAGTTAAGTAAAAACTTAAAGCAGCAAATATTTCAAGTATTTTCAGAAATACTTACATTGCTAATTAATCTAAGATTGAGGATACTAGAAACTATGATCAAAACTATGCAGGAAAACTTAATCAGTCATTTTAATCTTTGCAAAATATCTAAGATTTATCACAAAAAGATAAGATATAGAAAACTAAGCAATTCTAAGATTTGAAAAGTAGAGGATTATATAATTCAATAGATCTAGGTCGGCAATAAAAGTCAGTTAATGGAGGTAAAAAAATAGATTTATTAAATTAGCAAAACAATGGAAGCGCCACATTTGGTGGATAAGTAGATCTGAATTAAGAAGAAGGTGTATATTTGACTTAGGAATTCAAAAAGGATTTGGTAGAAATTTCATCTCCAAAAAACAAAGGCACAGGGATTTAAACCTTATCGGGAACAGCTCCTCATTTTAACAAGTAATAATCAATAAGCAAGAACTACCACAATCTTAGTTAGCAATAACTAATCAAGCTTATAGAAACTTAAACTGCTGAAATCAAAATGTTTAAAGATATCATTCTTAAATAAGAGGCAAAGATAAAAACTCTCAAAGTAAAGAAGAGAGATTACTAGCAAACTAATAAGGAACTTTTGCAAGAGATTATGAAAAATGATGATGATGATGAAAATCTTGAAAGAGAAGAAACAGAAAGAAGCTAAGATAAAAGGATGAAGTCAAAGGCTTTCAGTAGTCCTGGGAAAATCCACTAGATTTATCAGGATTTTTTCATTACAGACATGAAGAAAGATTTGAGTAAGGTAATGGATATGATGACTACTTAGAAGTCAAATGCTAATACAGCATTAATAAAATTAAGTGAATTGAGGAAAAAGAATCATGATCTCACTAATAAACTTAAAAGATATAGGCAGATGATGAATGAAAATCTGAGGCAATAGCAGACAATAGTACAGAAGAAGACTGGAGGAGCAAGTAATGGTAATAGATAAAATTCTGCCTAGAATTCTTAATAAGATAAGAGTAAGGTAACAGATGATGAACATAGTAAAAATAATGAAAAAATGCCAGTGGACAAGAATTTAGAAAACATATCAAAACTTGCTATTTCAACTCTAATGAGAAGGAACTCTGTAAGTCTTTTCAATCAATTTTTAATATTATCTATAGTTAAGTCCAGAAAGAGGCTAATAATAGCAAAGAAAATCTTAAGTTCTTAATATGAATGATGTTATTAAGGAATTGGTAGAGAGATAGAGTTTTGAAAAAGAAAAATTAAATACTTTTTCCCAGTATGTCAAAAAACTTTTAGATGCAAACACTGTCTATTAAGTGATTGATTGCATGAACACGTAATTTCTCTATATTCTTTAATTTACTCTTAGAGCTATAAGAAAATTGATCAGTTGCCAAAAACTATCGTTCTTGTTTTTTGAATAAGATTGGATTACCACTTCCTCTAAAGATAACTCAGAATTTCTCCCTTAGTATAGGTTTGTAGTTGAGAATGAATAGTTCTTATAAGTATCTATATCAGAAAAAGACATAACTGAACCATCTTTTGTAAAACTAACTGACATATTCTCTTCAGGAGATATATATAAGAGGTATCTACTTCATGATAATTGATTAATTTAGAAAGGACTTTGTGTGCGCACTCATATACAATCCTAAAGAATAGTAAAATTTCTCTGATCAACCAACCACTAAAGAAAGGTCAAAACCTTTTGGTTTAGTTTAAATGTAATTTCAAAGGACATAGGGGATGAATGGGCTAATTTAGTTAAGTTTTGTTGAAGAATTTTTTGTCAAGACATTGGCTTAAATGATTGGTGAGAAGCTAAGACTTATAAGAGCTTAGATTGAAGCTCAGAGAAGAAGAGACGAGATTATCTAGATAGTAAAATTTTCAAGTGCCATCTGCTAATAGAAAAACTATTCAAATTTGATTGTAATCATTGGATAATTTATGTCTATTTTTAGAACACATTGAAGAGCACTTTGTCTGAATTCTTTGGATTCGAATCAGCATCTGTAATGTTTAGAAACGAAGAAAGCACCGAATTATTCACTACAGTAACCTAAACTCCAGACCCAATCTTCGATAGATAAGATGATTTCATAAATTACCCTTCAAAAGTTGGACTAACCGGATATGTAGTTAAAAGCTAATGTAACTAACCTTAGGCTAATTTATTATAGAGATATTTTTCACTAACAATATTATAAAAGAATTAAGATTTAATACATCGACTGATAATATTTCAGCTATTAATGAGCCTTATAACATTATGATTTGTCCTATAGTAGATAACGACTCTTTAATGGATACATTCAATTAAGAGTAAGAGAGTATCACTGTTACAAAGGATTTAAAAAAGGCTGTTGGACCAAGACTTTCTGTTGTCAAAAAGGGGAATCAAAGCAAAGTGATTAAAATAGAGGCAAAGAAAAAAGATAGGCTATTGGGAGTAATTTAGTTTATAAATAAGTCTGATAGATCTGCAATAAATGAATTTGATATTGTAAGAGATTAATGAAATAATGTCAAAATTATTATAGAATAAGTATTGGTAGATAAATAAACTAATAGTTATAGCAATTAGGATAGTTAAAGATATTAAGATATTTTTGAATTTGACTATGGCTTAGCAAAACTCTATGTAAAATTAGGATTAAATGTTTGAAAAAGTTAAAAATCTTCTGACTGGGGTAAAGTTTATTATCATAACTTCAATTTAATAGGAAAAAGCATAGATCATGAATGATGTATCAAGTACTCTATTCGGAATGAGAAGAATTTTGAAAGCCAAAGGTAAGGATTCATCTGGAATGGTGACAGCTAAGGAAAACAATGAAGATGAACAAAAATGAAATATTCAAAGACAAAAGTATATTTAATGATTTGTTTGATTTTAAATGTTTCGTATGAATATTGTTGTAAGGGGTTTTGGGGTTTTGGGGTTTTGGGG